GATTTGGAATTTTGGAGATTTGGAATTTTGGAGATTTGGAATTCTGGCGATTTGGAATTTTAGAATTTTAGAATTTTGGAATTTTGGTATTTTGGAATTTTGGAATTTTGGAATTTTGGAATTTTGGAATTTTGGAATTTTGGAATATAGGAACATAAGAATATAAGAATCCCTAAAACGAGAATTATAACTACGACTCCTCTAAAAGTGAATGTAGTACGTAATAACAAGAAAATAAAAATGCTTCCCTAAGTAATAACGCCAGTCCGATAAAATCCTCATTTCCAAGGAATTTCACTTTTACGTTCACAGCAGAGAACTGGTAATAAAAGAATCTTAGAATAAGGATCTAAACATGAAAACAATTCGAAGCAAAGTAAAAATAGTTCGCCTTTTTGTAATATCGATCGTTACACATCGATCGCTGCGATCACGGAGTTGTTCAAAACGGAAGACGCCGCAGGCGGTCGTGTTACTTCGCATACGATATCAATCACTCTTGCCACATGGCGTCGACCAAGCTCGTGTTCAATTAGGGCGCAACGAAGCAAGCTCCCACGGTAAAGCTCCTCGATCGATAGCATTGCAAGGGCACAATAAGATGATTCCCAGAGCGCTTTTATCGTTGTCAACGCCTGTGGAGCGATTTGCTTGGGAAACAGGTAATCGCGTCAGGAGGATCCATTTACAAAGCCTAGGAATCAATAATTAACTGAATTAAACCTATCACTTCAATATATTCAACCGGCCACAATTTTTTGGAGTCATCTTGCAACACTTGGATCATTATTTATTATCGTTATTAACTTATGTTTAGTTTAACATAGAAAATTTTTTTGGAATTAAACCTGTCACTTTAATATGTTCAACCCGACGCAATCTTTTGGAGTCATCTTGCAATATTTGGATCATTATTTGTTATCGTTATTAACTTACGTTTAGTTTATTACAGAAAATTTATTTATTCTTCCTCTTTAAATCACTGCTAATAATCGTAGAAATAATAATAATCACTGCTTATATAATTAGAAGCATATGTGAAACACCACGTGTTTCTCACCTATGTGGTCTACACTGCCAGAAGAATGCAATGCCTATGAACAACTGGTGGTTTACACTGCCAGATGAATGCAGTCCCTGTGAACTAGTAGTGGTCCACGCCATGTTGAACGTGTTAATGAAATTTCGTTGTGAATTGTGTCCTATGTCTTACTACATATACCTTCTTCAAGATAGTTTCTGTACTTTTCACGTTGAACTTCAACTTGACTTCAACTTCATTCTTGTGAGGTTCACTCTTGTAACTTTCGTTTGAGGAAGACTTGACATTTCTGTTGTATTATGGAATATATTTCCTTTCAGGTATTACATATATGAATGGTATATGTATGTCTATGGTTCACTGTTAATGTGAAGATTTAATGGTAATTTGTAGTGAAATTTAGTGAATTTTTTGTGGAACTAATCGACCTAAATGTCCTAAATTTGGAAATGCATAAGTATGAAAATTTAGTGGGGTTCTTAATAAGACTACCTATTTAAATGTCCTAAATTTAGAAATTGTATAAATACGAATATTTAGTGGGTTCTTAATAGAACTAACTGCTCAGAGATCTTAAAATAAATGTATGATGATCATTCATGACTAAAAATTTAGTAAGGTGTTTAGCATAATATAATTCATCACAATAGTATCTACACCTACTGTGAATATATGATGGGTTCAAACAATAAATCCTAAAAATCCAATTCCTGATATAGCATAAATTATTCCAATATCTTCAAACATCATCCAACATTCTTCTTTACCACTAGTTAACTTTAACTCATTCTAATAATTCATAACTAACTAATATTAATATTAACTGACCAGTGATCACTTGTCATTTGATCACATCAAAATGACCTCCCTTAATAGCAAAAGTAGGTAATAGCAGTTTTACTTGAACTATTCAGTAAACTAGTTACCCAAATTTGATAATGCAAAGGTGAATCAAAAAGCCAAAATCTGGTACACATGTACGAATGAACGTACAAATTCAAAAATAGACGGACAAGGGTTGAACACAAAGCTGGAGCTGACTCTTCAGTATAGTGGAGCGGTGAACCATTTTGTTCCCCTTTTATCGAATAGTAGTACTGTTGAAAACTTGCCCGCATATAGCTCTTGTGAACGAATTTTCGGCTCAATTGGACAATGCCTTCTGTTCTGAATGTGAACGTAAATTGTCGACATTTTAATGAACACTAGAGTTATGAGGAAAACTATGACAATGTATTATGACGAAAAGTGTAATGGGGTATTATGAGGAAAACTGTAATAGGGTATTGTGAGGAAAGTTGTGATATTGTATTATGACGAAAATTATGATATTGTATTATGACATAGATTATAATATTTTATTATGACAAAAATTATAATATGTTATTATGACATAGATTATAATATTTTATTATGACAAAAATTATAGTAGAGTATTATAAACTATAACAATGCATTATGACAAAAATTATAATATCGTATTATGACAAAAATTATAACATTGTATCATGACAAAAATTATAATATGTTATTATGACATAGATTATAATATTTTATTATGACAAAAATTATAATATGTTATTATGACATAAATTATAATATCGTATTATGACAAAAATTATAACATTGTATCATGACAAAAATTATAATATGTTATTATGACATAGATTATAATATTTTATTATGACAAAAATTATAGTAGGGTATTATAACAGAAACTATAACATTGTATTATGACATAAATTATAATATCGTGTTATGACTGAAATTATAACATTGTATCATGACAAAAATTATAATATTTTATTATGACAAAAATTATAATATGTTATTATGACATAAATTATAATATCGTATTATGACAAAAATTATAACATTGTATCATGACAAAAATGATAATATCGTATTATGACAAAAATTATAATATGTTATTATGACATAAATTATAATATTTAATTATGACAAAAATTATAATATTGTATTATAACAAAAACTATAATACAATATAACAAAAATTTAAATATAGAAATTATTAACAAGAAGTAAGAATTTGTTCTCAGCTACTAAAATTATTAAAACTTTTTAATAATTAATAACAAAATTTTTAAAATACAATATCAAAGATTATTATATAATTAACATCAGCTGAACAAGCTTTCTAATTTTCCTATTTTATTTCAATATTCCCTATAACATAACTCTGCAATTTTACGTCACATTCTCCATCAAAATTCATTTGATACACGATCTAATTTAATGAAGCCATAATTCCCCAATTTCACGAAATATTAAACAATTGATAACTGAAATTGAACAGTTTAGTTCAGAAATGATTGCAAACCGCGTCAAAAGGTTTTGTTAAACGACAGCTCAAAGCTCGAAAATAAGTTAATAATTTTCCCGTTGAATCTCAAATTTCTCGTTCACGTTTCACATTTCCGATACAAATGCGTCGAATCGAACCCGTTTAACGGACAATAACGGCGTTCATCGTTGGCATTATCGATAACGAACCGATGGCTTTGTCAAACGACCCGGCTTTTAAAATCCGCGCGCGTATCTAACGCTGCCGCTCGCAAATAAATCGCATAAACTGATTTGCGGTTCGCGGCGTGCTCGAAACGAGTTTCAATCCCGTGAAAGATTCAATTACCCTGCGGAAATCTTGCGGGACCCCATGGACTAAAGCATTTTGTACTACATACAATGGGATCGCGTTTCGTGTCACGTACAATCGTCGTTCTGATTTTCACCTGATTTTTCAAACGGTAGTTGGGAAAAAAGGGATACGGTGTCGCTGGTTAATTGATTTTACGATGCTTTGGATTAGTGATGAATACTGTTTGAATTAAACTAATTGTAACTAAATGATTATGACTTTATAAATAATATTTAGCTAATAAATAAATGACATTTAATAAATGATATTAAGCATAATTACAATTTCAGAAATAATATTTAAGAGATACTGTTTGAATTAAACTAACTATAAATAATTATGATTTTACAGATAATAATTAGTAAAATAAATAAATGGAGTTGGCACGTGAAGAGGCTGACCCAGATATTTAAAAGAACCTTGCCTTCAATTGGTCAAAACACAAAAATGAACTCCTAGACTTACACATATTGGCAGCAGACAATTGACTCTCACAGTCACACCTATTAATAGGCTATTAGGTAAAAAACAAACACTCGGCCAACGTCTCAAGAGTGAGATTACATGAATTGTATTCAGCAATTATTATTGTCATTATTATTCTCATTTACCAAAATGTAATTAAAAGTGTTCACATGAAGGATAGAGCTTCTTTTACTTTTGGTCCATCACGCGCCAAATCATGGGTTCACTACGATAGGTTTATTCTTGCGTAGCAATCAATTAGATAAAAAGATCAGAGATCGATATTGCAGTAGAAACAAATTGCAGCAAGATGAAAATTTATCCTTCCTTTCCAGCTCCGGATATCAGGATCGTGGACGAGGCCAGACACGAGTTGCGAGACCGTTATTACAAAACCGGTAGCGGTATCGAGTTGGCATGTGTCGCGCGGCCATCTTGTCCCGACTCGAAGATACCGCATCCCGTCTGGAGGAAAAATGGCGAAACGTTGCCGGATCACGTGAACGTTTATCACATTAATGGGTGAGCATACGTAGCGACAGAACGAGAACTACGATAGATAGGCCACGTTCCGATTTACGTTTCTTTTATCGATGTTCAATTGTGTACGCGTACCGGTGAGCTTTATACCATCCGATGAAAGCTCTCCGCTACGTCGACTACACGCTTTCTGGATAACGAGCGAACCGTTTAATCTCCCTTGAGGCATTCCTGTGAAACGTTCAATGCCTTTACGACCGCCGCTTCTATTTCGATTCGGTACTTTCGCTCGTCCGCGTGTGTACATACATTGTCGTTTGCTGCTCTTTCGACAGATGTCGTATTGGGGGATGTACGCCTGGTTTTATTTACTGTTGCGTCGCGGTATATCGCCGTAATTGGGGATGTTGGGTTGGAGTGTCTTTTGAAGGTAGGAAGATTTGTGGATTTGGGGATATGGGGATTTTGGGATTTGGGGATTTGGAGATTTGGAGATTTTGGGATTTGAGGATTTGGCGATTTAGGGATTTCAGGATTTAAGGATTTTGAGGATTTTGGGATTTTGGGATTTGGAGATATGAGGATTTAGAGATATGGGAATTTGGATATAATTTGGAGATATGGGAATTTGCAGAAATGGGGATTTGGAGATACGGGGATTTGGAGATACGGGGATTTGGAGATATGGGGATTTGGAAATTTGAGGATTTGGAGATCCTTGAAGTTCTTATGATTTGAATAATTAAGAATTTAAGAATTTAAAAATTTAAAAATCTGTAAATTCAAAAATTTGGGAATATGTAGATTTAGAAAATTGGAAATTGGGGAATTTAAAAGTTTTTTAATTTAAAACTTGCAAATTTAGTAATGTCAGATTTAGTGATTTTGAGAATTAGGGTTAAGAAGTTTGACACAGAATATATTTGACCATTTGAATATTTAAAGATGTAGGATTATGAAAATTTAGGAAATTTGAAAGATTCAGAAATTTGCCAATTAGATTATTAAAAATTTTCAGAATTATTGTATTTGACCATTTGAAAACTTAAGAAGTTAAAGACTTTTAAGAATTTTAAATGGGAGAGTTTAATAACTTCCAGATTTCAAGTTTGGAAATTCGACAATAACATTATCTATATATTTTGCAATTCCCCATTTTGAAATCAATACATTTAAATATCTAAATTCTAAAACTCTGAAAATTACAATAAGAATGTTATTGAAATTAAAAAATTTAGAAATAAACATTATAAATCTTACGTGTATTGAATTATCATATGATCATATGATCAAGTTATTACAATTAATTCTGTATAAATACGTGTCTCCTCCAAAGCAAACTAAAAATAGTTCCAATAACAACTCAATATTTAACGAGGTAAGAAACATAATGTTTGATGTTATTTTAGCAAAACTCGAAGACGGAAATACGGAATGTATATTATGATTATCCTTACTTACTCCTAACTAACTTGCCTTACGGGGATTTCGATCTGATTCAGCTTACCTCAACAGCATCCAAATTACTGGATGAGACCACAATGGCGCCTTGTTAGATATGTTATAATACTGTCTGTCCAATTCTAGTCAGGATCCGTAGTGTTTACAGAAACCGTTTCGATTTAATAGACAATACCGAACCCCGGCAAGATTCATACAATTTAATACGAATCCATGTTTCGAATACAGAAATCAGAGACCTTACTGTAAACACTTCTGTGCAAATATATTCTTATCGTTATTTTCTCAGAGAATTAATTTAGTTATAATACTTTGTGGTTTTGTCAGAATCAAGTATGAAATGATGAGATATATATTTCGTAGAGGGCGAGAATATTATTGGGTACAGTGACGTAGTTGGAAAGGGGGTTAATTTTACCCTTAATGGTACAGTTAAGATTGTATGTCGATTTTGAACGTGTGGATATTTTGAATTTTTGGGATTTTGTGTTTAGATATTTTGTATTTGGAGGATTTAGAAATCTTAGGTTTTGGGGAATGTGAGATTTCAGAACTTCAGAATTTGGGAATTTTAGAACTTTAGAATTTTAGAATTTTAGAATTTTAGAATTTTAGAATTTTAGAATTTTAGAATTTCAGAATTTCAGAATTTCAGAATTTCAGAATTTCAGAATTTCAGAATTTCAGAATTTCAGAATTTCAGAATTTCAGAATTTCAGAATTTCAGAATTTCAGAATTTCAGAATTTCAGAATTTCAGAATTTCAGAATTTCAGAATTTCAGAATTTCAGAATTTCAGAATTTCAGAATTTCAGAATTTCAGAATTTCAGAATTTCAGAATTTCAGAATTTCAGAATTTCAGAATTTCAGAATTTCAGAATTTCAGAATTTCAGAATTTCAGAATTTCAGAATTTCAGAATTTCAGAATTTCAGAATTTCAGAATTTCAGAATTTCAGAATTTCAGAATTTCAGAATTTCAGAATTTCAGAATTTCAGAATTTCAGAATTTCAGAATTTCAGAATTTCAGAATTTCAGAATTTCAGAATTTCAGAATTTCAGAATTTCAGAATTTCAGAATTTCAGAATTTCAGAATTTCAGAATTTTAAAATTTGGAAATTTAAGAGTTTGATGATTGAAATTCGGATTTCATAAATTTGACAATTGGAAAATTTGAACATTTGAAGACTTGAGAATATGAGAATGTGAGAATTTACAAATTTCAAGAGATTCCAAAATTTAACATTTGTGGAATTTGAACACTTAAGGATTTGAGGATGTGAGAATATGAGAATTTAGAAATCTAGAAAAATTTAGAAATTCAGAATTTGATGATTTTTAAAATATACTAAAAATATTCTTTTATGTCACTTTTCAAAATTGATAAAAAAATTCTAAATTTCAAAAATGACAGATTTCGAGTAGACTTAAAAATTTCAAATATAAAGATAATTATTAATAATTATTATACATAATATACACAATATATAATTATGCATAATGTATATAATAATTAATTAACAAAAAATATACTTATTTACATGATAAAAATAAATGCATAAAGAAAGCCTTCAATAAAGAAATTGTTAATTATTCCTCATTAATCAAAATAGAATTATCATAATTATTAATTAATCTATTAAATATATTAATGAAGTAATGTATTGAATTAATTAGTTCATTGAAACCCACCATCCCTAAAAATTACAATTTCCTTTTAAAAAACTTGTCGCATAAAACGAGATATAAATTTATATACCGAATGTTAAATACGTAAAAATTTCGCACGTTGATTTATTCATGGAATTCAACCTAATCGTTTAGATCAATTTTTCGGATGTTACACGGTTGGAGGGTTGCAAACGTTTGCGCTTTTTCGCGGGAAATATCTATTGAAATCCGTATCGTACGTCCAATGTGTAACATGGCTACTGATTTTTCAGGTCGAACGAAGATCTGGTGACCAAGCTGTACATCGAACAGGCAAAAAAGACTGACAGTGGTGAATACTCGTGCTCAGTGAGCCAATTCAGTACTGCCGCAGTGCATATTCACGTTTTGAATGGTAAATCAATTAAACACATGTGGTGGCAAAATGTTATTGTCCATTATCGTAACACTTTGTAGTAAAAAAAATATGAAGTGTTGGAAACAAGGAAGAGTGGACAATAGAACGGGAATTTAGTGATGTCGAAGTTATTAGATACGAGTCAAATCTATTCCGACAAAAATTGTTAACAAAATTTGCAATTTTTATTGTTCCACGTTTCAAAATTTTTAGATTTCTGTTTTTCAAGTTTTCAAGATTTTAAAGTTTTAGTTCTTCAATTTTTTAAGTTTTCAAGTTTTCGAGTTTTCAAGTTTTCAAGTTTTCAAGTTTTCGAGTTTTCGAGTTTTCAAGTTTTCAAGTTTTCAAGTTTCCGAGTTTTCAAGTTTTCGAGTTTTCGAGTTTTCAAGTTTGCAAGTTTTCAATTTTTCAAGTTTTCGCGTTTTCGAGTTTTCAAGTTTTCGAGTTTTCAAGTTTACAAGTTTGCACGTTTTCGCGTTTTCGAGTTTTCACGTTTTCAAGTTTGCCAGTTTTCAAGTTTTCAAGTTTTCCAGTTTTCAATTTTGCAATTCTTTAATTTTTCAAGTTTCCAAGTTTTCAAGTTTTCGAGTTTTCGAGTTTTCAAGTTTACAAGTTTTCAAGTTTTCAAGTTTTCAAGTTTTCAAGTTTTCAAGTTTTTAATTCTTTAATTTTTCAAGTTTTCATGTTTTCAAATTTTCAATTCCGAAATATCCTTGTACTTCCAAAATTCCAAAATGTCTACTTTCCAAAAGTTCAAACACGTAAACTAAAAAAACTCCCAAGTATCCCATTTCTTAAATTTCCACATTTGTACATTTTTCATTTGAAAAGTTTAAACATACAAATACAGACGTTACACGTATCACAACTTTTCCAACAAATTAATCATAAATTTGTTTTAACTTGAAAATTCCAAAAAACGTTCAATGAAACGTTGCGCCGCATTAATTACTGTCTACGAAAAATGAATTTTATTTCGTAGAAATGTTACCAGAGTTACAAGCTTGCATTTTAACCGTGTACGATATATTAAAAATAATATTAACGTAACGTGAAACAAATTGTGTAAAATAGTTGAAGTAGCTTCTATATAATTGGTTTACCAATAATTCCGTATTTACAGTACACGTTTATCGAAATTTTGATGTGTTTGCCAGCACGAAATGCGTGTTTATTAAATCTGTTGTTTCTGATAAATATTGGAATGCAGCACAAACTCAACTGTTATTTCATTTTGATATTTAAACGTTATTCGAGATGGAATGGTGCCAAATTAAAGCTAAAATCATATCGAATGATTCGTTTATACGATTATTAATTATTCTGACAAATTAGGATCTTTTGTCGTTCAATTTTTGTTATAGACATGCATGATTATTTTTATATGAACATGTATCATGTTATAAACATACATATATGTATAAATATGTATTTTATTATAAACATATAAAAACATTTCATCATAAATATGTATAAACATGTATTTTATTATGAACATATGTAAACATGTATAAATATGTATCTTATTATGAACATATATAAACACGCATGAATATGTATTTTATTATCCACATATGTAAACACATATAAAGATGTATTTCGTTGTGAACACATATGAACAAACAGAACAATATTTCATGTTAGAAAATATTATTAAACTTTTTAAATGAAACAACGTTAGATAATGCTGCTATTGATTATTAATAAATTATCAATATTTTAATTGATACTTTAACAATACATTGATGATATGATTGAAGCTAATGAAAATGATTGAAGTATATGTTTATAATGTAACATTTGATTCTATAATTCGTATTTATTTATTTTTGATTAGTTTTCAAACATAACCTTACCTGGTATATATATAATTTTATCATTCTAACCTGTTTATTTAGATCCATCTTCAAACCTAACCTTACCTAATATACAATTTTATCATTCTAATCTTGAGGTTCCATCTTTAAACCTAACCTCACCTGCTATATAATTTCATTATTCTAATCTTGAGGTTCCATCTTTAAACCTAACCTAACTTGATGCATTTATTATGCAAATCTGTTTACTCTTGATCAAACTCGATCTTTGAACTAAATCTAATTTAACCTAACTGCAACCAAACATATTTAAGTGATAAAATTATGGACCAAGATAAGTTAGGTTTAACTAATATTTAAAGCAGAATAAATAAATTCACATATAGTTAATAATTGACGTCCATAGAAAATGAAGATAACAACAAATAAATAGGACTCAAATAACAGAAACAAAAATTTTAAATTATCTTTCAGTGACTCTACAATAAAATAGTTACAATATTTCTCATATCACATATCACTCATAATATACATATGATTAGTTTGTTATAATAAATATTTAATTATATTTCACAGGTGAAAAGCAAGCAGCAGTTCACCATGACCAGTGGAATGCAGCGCGAGCAAATCACCATGAAAAATTGAGCAGGTTATACATCATGATCGCCAGCTTTCTCCTGCCTCAAGTTTGGATGATCAACTCGCCATGAATCCAGTCGGATCTTAAAACCATAATCGCACGTTACTTCGTCTCATCCGTTTGTGGGTGAAAACGTTGAAGCAACAGATCAGTATTACAATGGACGAAAATTGCGGAATCAATTATTGTATGCAATAAATTAGCGTGTATTGTATACAATACTGCGATAATAAATATAAGCGTGGAGATTAACTCGTCTCGAATCTGGCGACAGGAAATATTCTTTGAGGAATCCCGTTGGACCTGATAAATACATGTTACCATATGTTTCCTGAAAAAAAGAATTTATCAACTAGCATAAACTGTTAATTTTTAATAAACTTTAGCTATAATTACAATCTTCATTTAATGATTAAAGTTTGGCCATTTTAATTCAGCATTCCACCCTTTGCAATTATTATTTTCTTAATAATTTATATTAGTTTTATAATTTGTATGGACTTTGTATATTTAATCAGTAAAATTATTTTAAAGATCTTCAAAGAAACCATTGTAAAAAAATTCATTACACATTTCTATAAGTTCGAGTACTTGAATTCACGAAATAACTAACACGAAAATAAGCGAAAAATTAAGATAAATTAAAGTTAAAAATTAAGCTGCGATTTCCGGAAAAATAAGAAAATAAGAAAATTATGATACTATAATTTGCAATTTAATGACGTAAGGTTTTGTATTTTACATTTAAGAATAAACAGGAAAACTTCATTGAATATACGTAACTATTTTTTACTCGATAATAAGAATGCACGTAAGAACGTTGGAAGTGCATTGTAACATGCATTTATTGGGTTGATACGTAATTGTTTGCAACGAGCAACTGCGTGTACTAGTAGTGAAAAAGTATGATCGTAAACGTTCCATTCTCCTGTTCTCAATGGCCTGTACATAAAAACAATATTAACAATTGTATAGCGGAGAGAATACATATTGCGCTCGATCGACCTGCTGCCATCTCATGTAATTTCACAGATGTGTACATCGCTTACCTTTAAATGTGTAACGACATGCATACGTTCTCGGTTAATAAACTGTACTTAACTAATTTTATCTAAACTTTTCTGCTGATTTATTCTCCTATCCTCATGGCTAAATCTTCATTAATAAAAGGTACTTATTATAATAAGAATAATATCTGAATTGAGTTAAGAGTTAGAGCTAAGTAAGACTGGATTATTTGACATTTTGGTCGTTCTCTTTAGGGGTCATTTAAAATTGCATTAAATATGAGGATACATGTTACCTATATTCTTTAAAATTCATATTTAGGAACGTGCATTCCTTGAAATTTATATTTGGATACGTATAATATTTTAACTAAACATTTTAAGTTTCTGGGAATGCAATTTAAAGAATATTGAATTTTTTTAGTTTTTGCCATTCTTAGGTTTCTATATCATCGATGAGATGTGAAATCAATTGAGCTAATCCACCAAAAATATAAGAATTATCTTCCCATTTTTTATAATCACTCAATTAATAACTTCACAACAATAACTAATTCTACTGAAATTGATTCTGAATTTTCTATTAATACATGTTCTTAAATGAAGGTTTAATTATAGAATGAAATAGTAAATGATTTTGTTTTTTAAATAAAATTGAAAATGATCAAACGATCATTCACAAATGCAAACAGAACTCTTCTTGACCGACGGCTTTGATAACAGAACTCTTCTTGACCAACGGCTTTGATAAGAGAAATCTTCTTGACCGACGGCTTTAATAACAGAACTCTTCTTAATCGGCGGCTTTTGTAACAGAAATCTTCTTAATCGGCGGCTTTTTATAACAGAAATCTTCTTGATCGACGGCTATTATAACAGAAATCTTCTTGACCGACGGCTTTGATGAGAGAAATCTTCTAAATCGGTGGCTTTTTATAACAGAAATCTTCTTGATCGACGGTTTTGATTACAGAAATCTTCTTGATCGACGGTTTTGATAACAGAAATCTTCTTGATCGACGGCTTTGATAGCAAAAATCTTCTTGATCGACGGCTTTGATAGCAAAAATCTTCTTGACCGACAGCTTTAATAACACAAATCTTCTTTATCGACGGCTTTCATAATAGAACTCTTCTTGGCCGACGACCCTAATAATCACCACAAACATATAGAGTTTGTTTTTCTATATTTAAAATAGTCAATAAATAATAACTTTCAATAATAACTGATTTATTGAAATTAATTTTGAAATATGTGGTTCTGAATTTAGATTTGATTATGGAATGAATAACGAACGTTTTTCTTTTAGAAATACAATTGAACATAAATAAAATTGAATACCAACTAGAAATAAAATTCTTCTTTATCGACGGTTTGAAAAAAGAATTCCTCTTGTCCGATGACGACTTCGATGATCACCACATATCTCCATTGTGTGCTGCCATGTAGTGGTAGAAGATGAGAACTAATTAAACTGCAGTTTCAAAAGTGTGTAGTTCAGCCTGTTCGCCGGAGAGATGGCGCCACTAGTTCCATTTTCGTAAAAATTCAATTATTGATTTTATCGATTAATACGCTACATATTTATTATATATTTATCCATATTGATTTTAGACTGTTTGCAATATATTCTGTGGGTCCAAACATGCAGATTATGTATTCAGAACAGTTGACACATTATCCCGTGCCTCGTTCAAAATTTTCACAGATATCTTCTTTTTCAAGAAAAAGCTTATTTGCAAAATTTGGTCGATAACGGAACATGACGGTTTTAAAATTTTTCCCAAATTTTTATCCAAATTCTGACACATTTGTTTGTAATAGTACCATTCTCCGCTAAATGACGCGAGCTGAACCTTTTTCGTATTGATTCATGGTTCATTGAATTTCCCACTTTGATAAACAATAATATATTCCAAAATGTGTCATTAGTTAACATTAGAGTGTTTCACAAGTACTGTATACGTTGTGACAGTCAAGAAATGCAAAAATTATTTTCTAAGTTTCCTTTGCAAAGTTCCAACTTTCTACCGCTAGATGCTATTGGGAAAATTAACAGGTTTTCAACAAAATTTTTTCAAATTGTGGTACTTGTATCGTATTTGTAGTTAGAGGAGTGGAGTTTTTGTCACTGTATGGTGACTGATGTGTCCGTTATGGACCTAATAAGTTAAAAAAAAAAAAAGAAAACAAAGTTTGTAATAATAAGTTGCAGTCATTGTCAGTAATAATTTAATTTCTCCAATTAATTAACCCGCACCAATTTTCAAATGAATACACGTAACAAAAAACCCGGCTTATAATATTTTTCACAGTCCACAAATTTTCCTCAACCAACTCCAGTTACAAGCTTTGTCAAAGACGAAGTAAGCTTGATCACCTTCGTTCACACAATTTCACATGCAACTGACTGTTTCATACACTTTAAACAAGTTGTAAATGGTCGAACTCCCAACATGACGCATTATTCTCTAAACTTGTTTAACAGTAGACTCCGAGAAGATAAGTTACCGAAGTTCTTCCAGAAGTTACACCTTTTCTACTAAAAGTTAAGGTGACTTTCTTGTGATAACATTATTTTGGTAGAATTTATCCTTGATCTTAATTGGCGACATTTTTCAGTGTTAGGTATCATTTGTGAGCACTTTGTAAAAGGATTATGCTTCCTGAAGCGTGATATTATTGATCAAAGGTGAAGGAGTCTTTAAACGAGGCGTCATGGAAGATATATTTCATAATTATATAACTTCAAGATCACTGTAAATTATTATAGAGATTATTGTGACAATTGACAGAGAATATTAGCAGAATTTTTATTTCGAAATTTCTTTACAATGACTTTTTCAGTTCATAATATTTCTAAGGTTAAAACAAAAATTTTTGTCTTCACAAGCTTTTAAACTTGCAAAATAAGAAATAAATATTTTCTACTAAAGAGACAAAAAAAATATTTTGTACTAAGAATATGATAAGAACGTAACAAATTGTGGTTACATAAAATAAGAAATAATTTCAATAATTTTATCAAAAAATTTTATCAAAAATTTCGTTCGTAGCAAAAAGAATTGCACACAGTATTTCACGATTGTAACAAAGGGTTTACAAACGTAATGAACGGTTCAAAGTTTCATTTCGCCACACGAATTTCTGAGTCGAATCACTCGATATTCGAGTATTCGGGTAATGACAGACTGCAGCTGGTCATGTTGAACGTCCGATTGTTTCTAACAGGATACATTATCAATTACTCCAGCCAATCAGCCAGTTCGTCGATGGAGATAGTCGTCGGTCTCTAAAACTATATTAGAGGCAGATGTAGCCGGTGCCAATCAACCCACTGAATCCGAAATACAACGGTTCCGATCGTAATTGTGCGACGCTTCGATATTGCAATCCGTGTCGGTGTTGCTTTGAGCGGTGAGTCTGATTTCAACGCGGTAATGTATGCTCTGCTACCAGCTGGAGCAATTCATTATTAAAGTTTCGTGAGAGTATAATCGATTAGAGTATTATACAACGGAATATCGATTATCCCAGTGCCATTACCAGGAAAATCAATTATTATCGGAACTGGGAGAAGTTACGTATTCAAGGAGCTGTGTCCGGTGTCGCCATTTTGTTACAATTATATTTTTGTTATAATCAGTTTTTATTATTTCTGGTACGTAACAGTGCCGTCATTTTATTACAATTATATTTTTATTTCGATTATTTTTGACAATTTTTGTTACGTAAAATGCCGCCATTTTGTTTTGAATTATATTTTCGCTTCAATCACTTTTTACTATTTTTGTACGTAATAGTGTCGCCATTTTGCTACAATTATATTTTTATTTCGATTATTTTTGACAATTTTTGTTACATAAAATGCCGCCATTTTGTTTTGAATTATATTTTCGCTTCAATCACTTTTGACTATTCTTTTATGTAAAATGCCGCCATTTTGTTTTGAATTATATTTTCGCTTCAATCACTTTTGACAATTTTTGTGCGTAATAATGCCGCCATTTTGTTTCAATCACTTTTGATAATCTTTTTACGTAACTTCGCCGCCATTCTGTTTCCAACTATACTTATGTTTCATTCACTTCGGACAATTCTTTATGTAAGAGACATTTCAAATAAATTTACAAGAAACAA